TATAGCTTATGTCTGTCCTTTATGCCCATGAGCTCAATAGTTACCCACACTGGTCCCCACAACCTTGCAGAATGTCCTGTCACACCACAAAGTTTCTGTACGGCATCTGGTACTCCTTCATGATCTAACACCTTGATGCTCACGAGGGTTTGCTGAGACGCAGAATCTATGACAAAGTTGCACCTTTGGCCATCCAGCTTTCCTGTCACATAGACACTATGTGTGCTTGGCATTTTACACCTAGCTGTTGGGACTTTCATGATGGGGGTTGGTGGGCGTTCCTCAGCACCAACCACTACTGGTCTCCTTGAGGCTGACTTATTGGTGGTATTCTTCTTACACTGGCACCTCATATGTCCTTGCTCTCCACAATTCCAACAACCTTTCTGAGTAGCAGCCTTTCCTACCGTGGCATATTCCCTGTGTTGAAGTTGCCAGCAATGAGCTCTCTTGTCCCCAGGTTTGTTACAGTACCAGCAAAGTCCCTCAAACTTCTCTGACAGCTGCCTTTTTCTGGCCTTGAATCCTGATGACTGTACCAACCTTGGTACCTCTGTGCTGGACTTAATGTAGGATTCAAATTCAAGAGCTCTGGCCATTGCATCCTGCATAGTAGAGGGGTGTGCTTGCTTCACTTGTATCTTTAATTGTGGACTGTCCAAGGCATCTACAAACGGATTCCTCAGCAACAACTTGAGGACATCGGGTGTTGCAGTTAGGTAGGCCTTGTGTGCCATACTTTCCAAATCTTGTGCCAGCTCTTGCAGGCTCTCCCCTTTAGCACGGACTCTCGTCCTATACCTAGCCCTGTAGACTTGGGACTGATTTTGAGCTCCATACCTGAGTTCTAGAGCAGCTACCAGTGCTCTATAGTTGTGTCTGTCATCTGCTGACAACTGTCCAAGTATTTCCAGTGGTTGTCCCTTCAAGCTCATTGCCAAATATACTGCTTTCTGCACCTCTGTCCATCCATTCATCTCTGCCAGAAGCTCAAATTGTGCTCTATATGTTTCCCACGGTGCCTTCCCATAATTTAAGAAAGGACTTGTGTCGCTAAAGTTTCGTCGGAACGAAGTTACGGAAAATTAACTAACGACTGGAGGCGTAACAAATTGGTGTCAGAGAGTGGGATAAAAAAAATGGAAATGAGAAGCAGCAAATCAAACTACAGCCTAGCAGACTTAATGGCAGCAATACAAGAACAGCAAAAGAAACAAGAAGAACGAGAAAAGAAACAAGAAGAACGAGAAGAGAAATTACAACAGTTGTTAGAGGAAAAAGAAAAGAAACAAGAAGAACGAGAGAATAAACAAGAAAAGAAACAAGAAGAACGCGAAAAGAAACAAGAGAAGAGATGACAGCAGTTGCAAGAAAACCTGCAACAGTGGCAGCTCGAACAGCAAAATAAACAAGAAGATAGATTACAATGGCTATTGGAGGAGAAAGAAAATAATCAAGAAGAGAAATTACAGCAGTTGTTGGAGGAAAAAGGAAAGAAACAAGAAGAATGAGAAAAGAAACAAGAAGAGAGATTACAGCAGTGGCAACTGGAACAAGAAAGGAAACAGGAAGAAAGTCAGCAGCAACTACAGGAAAGTCAACAACAGTGGCAAGAAGTACAAATGGAAAACACTAGTAAATTTAAAAGCAAATTAGATACATTAAAAGATGATTTATTGTCTTTTACACAAGGAGAATACATTAACCATCGACTTAACCAGCCCCAGACAATGACAAGCCCCTTCCAGACCCTGCAGCTAAACCCTAATGCTGACATATTCAGTCCCGTTAGAAGTCACATCCCAGATATGAATGTCAGTACTAGGAGTGATTCAGTAAGAAGGAAGCCACAGGAATTCTAAAACTGGTTTATTCTTTCGAATATAACTTTACCGATACACTTATTTTCAACAGTCGCTCTATAACAACGCTATAACAACGACGTTAACTTCAACAATACTTTCTGACTGCAGTTCAATTACTCACTACCTACACACACATTCTACACTGTTCCCGACACGTTGTGAGCGTCTTATATATATACCAGACTAACATATATCTAGTAACTGCTAGGGCATTTACGAAGGTTCCAGAAAACGAGTAGCGTGACACTAGTCACGTGACCTCGCTGACGCAACAGCACCATGTACACTGTTAGTCATTTTCATATAAAAAGGGGGCGTTGTGTTCTTAAAGTATTACGTACATAACCCACCAGTGTAAAAGATCACTGTCCGCTTAATATGTACAAGGGTGAGTAATTTGTCACCAGCACTTTCCGAATAGAAAACTACTTATAATGAAACATTAAAGTACTTTTATTTTTACTTGTATATTGTATAAGCCTCATTTTTTGATAATGTTTAATCAATACATACACATTAATTCAAGTAGACAGGTATGAAACACGAATGTTCCTAAAGTAAATTAAAAATACCGAACAGTAACAATGTTCCCAGTCATGTTTCCCTGTTTTATAGATAACACTAAAATAGTCACAAGACTTGAGATACACAGCGGGCTGTCTAGATATAAAACTGTTTGTCACTATACTTTAGTTCTTAAAATAAAAATCATGGACTGGAGCATTGAACTTTTATTAACACAAAAATACTTTCTATATCGCCATTTTTTATTATTTTTTTGCTCAGTATTTCAAAAACTAGACATTTCAGCTCTTATACATACTTGCTCAGGAAGAAGGCTAGTAAATTAAACTTTAAGAAAAATAAAAATTTTGGAGATATAGGTTGTGTTTTGTTTTAGTAACATTAATCGCACTGCAGTGAATAAGTGACATTGTTTCACGACTTCGTTAAGGAATATACAAAAATAACCGTCTCGCCTATTCGATTAATAGTGTAATATATAGCAATGGGTTTTAGTTTGGGAATAATTTCATAAATAGACATAGACACACACACACACATAGTTTTTCTGAGAATGAAATTATTTATATGCATACATGTTTCAGTTCGTTCTCATGTGTTACCAAGCGATGCAGGTGTCGCTATGTTCAGCGTGGAAGTTTTAGATGTGGTTATACTTATAGTATAGTTTTATTTTAATGGTATTATTACAACTTGAAATATAAACGTATTGTGTGGCTTTACTTCGTTAGGTTGATACTATGTCCAAAATCGAACCAAGTGTTGATGATTCTGTCAGTACTTACAATATTCGACCATCTCTTGACCAAAAGTAGGTTAACTTTAAGTTTAACTTAAGTTTGTGATACTGTATAAATACTATAATTATATAATGATAAGGGATTATTACTATTTGTATTACTAAAAGTAAAATGTTATTCAGTTTTACTTTTAGTCTTAGTACTATAAGTATAACTAGTATATGTACAATAGTAGTACTACTAGTAATAGTAGAGTAAGGAATTAGTACTACAAGTACAACTTAAAAGCTATAGTTAAGTTCAGGCTTTATCGGCATTACGGCGATACGTAAAATGAGCACCAACAAATTCCAGGAAAAGGACATCAAATGATTAATAATGCCACAATTTGAATGAATAAATAACTACTGCCACAGTCAGAGGCGTCGGAACCGGGGGTGATGTAATACCATCACTTTTACATATTTTACTTATATAGCAACTGTAAATTATATTATTATATCGATTTTCTGGGGTGCATGCCCCAGAGCACCTCTCCAGATTGAGCTGTCAGTATAAAATATGCATGTCTAACCAAGCGCCCTTACTTTGCAACTCCTTCCTACACCACTGTCAGTGACATGGGTTTCTGAAAATAACGCCAAGCCTTTGTTATTGATAATAGTATGTTTTAGCAATATTATCACAGAATACTTTGATCAGTGAATCGCATTCAGATTTGCATCAAAACGATCACAAAATTTTTGAAGTCAGCATAACCCTGCAAGTTACATTCATAATCAGAACTTGTTGAAGTAATATGGAGACATTCCTCTTAGTCACTGCATTATTTGTACTATTGTAGGGTTAAGTGAGCTGTGTTTCTAAACCATTATATGACAAAAATCTGTATGTGTCTGCATGTAATTTAAAACTGCTAGACCAACTGTTATCAGTCTTGACATGTACCCTTAGGGCTCCTATTTATTTACCCATGAGTTTTACAAATACATGAACTAGTAATACTAATAGTTAAAAGGCTTTTAAAACAACATATAGCAAAGCACCATTAGTTCATTGTTTTTTTTTAGTAATTATGGAACATTGTATTTTATATGTTTAAATGCCAACAGTTAGTCTACACAAAGTATTTCAGTGTTCTTCAATTTAGAACTTACAGATTTTTATGCAAATTTAAAATCTAGATTAAACATTTTAACAAAGCATCAACAAGTGAGCATTTTTTATTCTTCAAAGAAACTGAAGTCAAAAACACAGAATGTTCCCACTGTTAAATATGATGCAACACCTACACGCATAAACAATTCCCAAAGTGTTTTCCTGTTTCATTGACTTAATAAAATTAGATGTAGTGATAATGAAAACTGTGCTGAGGACATAGGATTTGTTTTGATCAAATGGCTCTTGTTTATCAAAATTTTTATGTTTGTTGGACCTGTGGTTATAATTTTAATGTCAGTGAAATAACTGTAAGGCTGATAGTGGATATGTTATTATATGCTTGTATAATTTATAAGTGGAAAGAAATTAAAATTGTTGATAATTCTGCAGGATGTTCCATTGTGTTATTGGTATGTATGTACAGTTAATGATATTTGGTTTTGTTTGTTTGTAACCTTGCGATTTCCAGATGTGTATAGATAAACAATTCCTGAGTGAAGTAGAATTGGTATGCAGTGTTGATATAAAATAAGTTGATATTTGATAAATAGTTAAAACAAATCTTAGTTGAGTTCTGATGTACGTGCATTATCTACACAAAGATTTATGAGTTGAACTGTTTAACTATTGCATATAAGTTTTGTATGTACATGTACTTAAGAATTCCAAAAGATGGAATAAGACCATTCCAAAACTTTTGTTTTTTCCTAACATTTATAGTCCTATACTTATTTAGTACATTTTAGTTATCAGCTAGAGTAAATTATTTTTCTTGTTTTATATGAAGCATTCAATCTTATCATTTTTATTTTTTTATGGTTATCAAGTAATATTGTACCTGCAAAATAATATTGTATTAAAACTGAGAATGAATTTAAAATTTATTACATGTTAATATTTCTATACAAGTCATGCTTTTATTAGCATTGGTTTTAACAAACTGCTCTAAGAAATTTGTTTCACAGAATTTTAGTGTATTATATACAACATGTTTCATGTAAGTATCATAACATAACATTATTGACAACAAGAAATCATTTGTTTTTTCAAGGCTGATTATGTACATCCACACCTGAAAAAAACTATACATTTAAATTTACCTATTTTTTTCTTGAAATCATTAATCTCCTCTCAGACTCTTAGAAGGTATCAGCCTCCACTACTACCATTAGCAACTCATTCCATATGCTAATCATCCAATCAGAACATTAAAACTCTTAACTGAAGCCAGCCTGTCTTTCGCAAGTTTTTAACTTGTGTCCTTTCATTGTGTTGAGTTTAGAATTTAGAACAAAGAAACCATGAGTTTTTATCCTATCAATTCCCTAGATTATCTTGTAAACTTTAATAACGTTACCCATTCTCTTTCTTTTTCAAGAGGAAATTTGTTAAGAAATTTTAATCTCTCCCCATAATCATCAAGATAACCCTTCCATCCACAGAATCATCCTAGTAGCCTCTGAACCCTCTCCAAAAGTCACTATCCTTTTTTTTTATATAAGAAAACAAAAACTACACAATATTCCAAGTGAGGCCTAACTAGTGATTTGTGTAAAGAGATAATTACCTCTTGCTTGTAATCTAAAATTGTATTACCTGTACTACTAACAATAAAATAATGCCTTGTAAGTTTGAGTGACTATCAGTTACTATATTATGAACGTTTTCTTCAGTCACGCTATTGAATGGGTTACGATCTGTATTAGATGTGTGTACCCCAAATTATGACAACTCATTTATATACTTAAAGGTCATTTGTCAGCTAATTGTACAACTTACCAACATCATCCTGTATTACTTCAACATCCTTAATACAATTAGGAATATCTAACACTCTAACATCATAATATGTTTAACTTTACTTGACAGGTTTCGATCTGCCCCAGTTAAGGAATGTATAAGGCTAATTCTTATGGAAGAATTAGGAGATAAAAGTTATCGTGCTGAGGACGTCCCAGTCTGGACAAAAAGTATAGCAGATGCAATAAGAGACAAAATTAAAGGTCTGTTTAGAATTTTTTATGATTTTATTACTATATCTGCATTACTCTTTGATTGTTCTTTGACTTTTGGCAAACATCAAAACTGAATACTGCCTAAAAATAGTGAGGTTCATTAAAAGTGCAAGATTAGTGTACTCACTTTGAACTACAAAGTAATTTATGTACTCATCTTGATGTTATTACATAAATATGAATTACTTTGTTTTTTTTCTGTTGCAGCTGTTCTTCCTTGCAAATTTCTTGTCACCAAAAATACTTGAAACAAAAGGCATGCTTTTATATGATTGTGTGCATTTGTAACCTGTAATTATGCATAAGGAAAATGTAGTGCGACCAAGACCCCATAAAAGTTTTAAAATCATGAATTAAATAATTGTAAGTGTACATGTATATGTGTGTAAATATAAGTATGTTTAGAACTTAAATACATTGTAATTCTAAATTCATATCATTAGATGATGTGTTTCACACTCAATTTATATATATATATATATCTGGCACAACATTCAGGCATTAGGTATAACCTATTGGCTGAATACTGTATTAGGTATACTGAACTAAAAATTTAAAGTTGAGAGTTTGTATATTTGAAGACCACAAATGTTTGAAAGTATATCTTCCTATTGGAAGTCATTTAATAGATGTTTACTTGATGTTATATGCTAGGATGTAGGCCACTGTCGAAACATGCGTATATTCTAAAATTTAAAAATGTGCTGAAATATATGAAAATTAAAGTAATCTCATTAATGAATATGCAAAATACATCCTGATGCTCAAAATTTTGCCATTGAATATCATATTAACAGCTTATTTGCATTTCTCTATAAAAAAGTTCATACATTGACTGACAATTCTTCATATCAGGATAAAGCTTAGTGAGCTAAGCTATTGCTTCATAAATGCTATAAGGCTTAGCATGTACTTTATTGGTTATTAAAGACAGGAGTTGAAAGAAAGCTTGAGCTATGGCCATTAGCTTGTAATGTTTAAAATCCACCTTTTTTTTTAAAGTGTTGATATGTTTTTTAGCAACAGAATTTTAAAAGGTAGCACACTATCATATGAAGTTAGAATTTTTTTTGAGGAATTGAAAATTGAGAATAGGTGATTGTAATTGTGTTAGGAACATACTCATATTGATATTTGGTTGAACACTATATGATTTCTGTAGTAGAATGAATAACATCCAGTGCACCTAAACATTGTTGACAATTGTGTTCATCCAACAAAAACTGCATTTCTATCCTGATGGACTAAGTCTTCCAAGATGATAACAGAGCATTCTACCAGGCTTTTTCTGTCCAAAAACTGGTCAAAGTAATTCCAGTAAACTTTCACATCCAGAATCTTTGTGATAAAATTATATGTCAAATTCACCATTGTAATTCGGCATCATGTGGAATATTTAACTACGAGTCAAAATTATTACTGAAGCAAGAGATGGTCCAACCTGATTTTAGGTGAAGTCCTAATAAAGTAACCAGTCAGTGTGCATGCACAACTTCCAAAGCTTTATTTCTATGTTCAACTACACTGTATGAAAAAGAAATCATAATTGCAGAATGATCATAAATCTTTTTTTACCCCATTAATTAGTACAAGGTGATTTTAAAATACTTTTTCTTCTGTTTGATATGATCTACTAATTATGAATGTACTTCTGATGTGGGTACAGTATGTATAAGGTTGGTTAAACTTATCCTTATTGAAATACTGCAAAGTAGAGCTGGGCATTTAACTCAGTTAATTGATTAGTGTCATGTATGGTAATCAGGTGAAATTGTGAATAATGGATAAGTTGAATGTAATCAATTAATTAGACTGACAATTAATCATTTAGCAAATGATATTCTCTGCCAGGGATATTTCGAGATGTTTGATTGTACAAATTGGGTATTTGAATTATGCATGAATTTATAAATTGTGCATTTGCACTTTGACAGAGCTAGGCTTTGAGCGGTACAAGATGGTTGTGCAAGTTGTTATTGGTGAACAGAGAGGAGAGGGAGTTAAGTAAGTAGATACATGGTACTTTTTATACTGATGCTAATCATCCTTTATAATGAGTCTTTATATAGCAGTTAGTAATATCAGTTTTAATCTTACCTGTATTAATTTTAAAATGTGTTAGAATTGTGTTTTAAGGTTCAGAATTTAAAGTGTATTTATTAAGCAGTAATAATAAATTGGTATTGAAATGAAAAAAGATAGTTATAAGTGTGTCTATGTACAATTCTTTTACATAACTGGCTATATATATACTTTTTATTTTCAAAATGAGCTGGTACACTGCTGCTTTCTCTTTCTTATGACAAAAGTTCAGTAACAGTACATTTGAGGTTGGTCAAAACCTGAAAAGAAAGTTTAATTATAGCATTGAAATTAATGAAAGAAATTACGGAACATATCTAATGGTGCATGTAAATTGGAAGTGTTAAAATACAGTTCTGTTCATTATTTTATACACAATATAATATGTAATGTAGTTTACAATTAGTTGTACACATACATGTATGTCTTCATATAGCAAAACATTGACTTAATTTGAATTAACAGAAAGACATGGAATACGATAATAAAGTGATCCTTGTTTTGATGTATTTCTTATTTTTTTACAAGCTAATGTAAAACAACATGGTTTTAAATCTTGTGCCCATGTAATTTGAATAGGACCACTTTATTTTTCTATCAATATTTGTTAATAGTTGTAGTTAACTGCTTAAGTGTTTTTTTATTAAAGAGTAGAGAAAACTAATGAAGATATATATAAAGTCTGCTGTAGTGGATATTTTCTCGTCATTGTTTTCTTAGTCATTAGAATGCTAATTAGTCTTTTTTTGTAATGTTACAAAAACATTTAAAAAATAACTAAAAAATTAGATAAATTTTGACTTGTCATTTTCTGATTTTGGTGGATTTTTGAGATACACATCTAACTTCATTTATATCAATCTAAATTTTCTTTATCAAAAGTCCAAGAATATGAGTTAAATAAAAAAAAACAGCACACTTTTTTTGCCAAAAGGTATTCAAAACACAGCAAAATTGTTCTGTTGATCTAGGAACCAAAAAGAAACCAATAACACATCAGTTGAGAACTCTAAGTAAATATTTTATTTGTTTCTTCTCATTTTCTACTAAGTTATGAGGTTTATTTGGCATCTTCAACTGTACAGTACTAAGTATGGTTTACTGAAAAAGGGTGTAGGTTAAGACCTGTTGAAAAAAATGTTTATAAAACAGTATGTATTGAAAATTACAATAAAACTATCCACATATATATATATTTAAACTTTTTACCTGTATTAGTATAATGTGTCTCAATAAAACTTCTTTTCTGTCAGAATTGGAAGCAGATGTCTTTGGGATTCTGACACAGACAACTATGCATCTGATATTTTTATGAATGTGAGTTTAAACAAAATGTTAATATTTTTTGAGATTTTTTACAGGCTAAATTTTAAGTTACCAATAATAACAAACAAATTAATTTCAGTTAACTAGTTCAACATTTAAAAGTTGCATTTTCTGTAAGTTTACTAACTTGAGACATTAAATGACATTTCTAAAGAAAGATGCCTATTTAGCAAGTATTTATACATACACTTCAGGATTTTAATGCAAGGAATTTTAACATTTAGTCAACCATTTGATTGTATTTAGTTTCCTTCACTAATAGTAAATAAGTGTGTGTTTCAGTGAGATTTAACTAATAATATTTGCCATTCTGAGCATTACTGTTTGGTTATAATCTAACAGGTGTTCTAGAATGTTATTTGATTGTTAGTAAACCATTCAAGTTTCAATCAAAAAGGTAGTACTCATTGGACTGGATAGTTAGTGAAATTTGCTAATTGATTAATTGTCAGTCTCATTAATTGATTACATTCAACTTATCCATTATTCTCATGACATGGATAAAAATAAAAAAGAAAAACTAATAATGCTAAAATCAGGTTTTGATATCAAAGGTGTGTAGCTTTGTGCTTAACTACAAACAAACATGATAGCAATATATTGATTACCTGGATAGTTGGAATAATAAAAAAAACTAATCATTGGAAACCCTAATTGTGATTAGTTGATTATTTTAATTAGTTGTGACACTAATTGATAAAAATAATAATAGAAATATTTCAATTAATGGATAGTTGGAATAATTGGAAATGCTAATTTTGATTAATTGATTATTTTCATTACATTAATCAATTTCATTGTAATTTCAGTTAATTTATTATTTTATGTGACACAAACCAAAGGAATCTGTACTTACAGGTAATTGATTTTATCACTTAGCCCTTTAGCTTACACTGAAGAATACTTATGTCATCTTTTCTTTATTCTTTTGGCAGTTTTTATACAGACAAATTTACAAATTAAAATGTCAGGAAAATTGTTTTTATTTAATTTTTTCAAATTTCCTGTTAAGTTACTTAATTACGTAATGTGGAATCCTTCAGTGTTATTGCTGGTGCATGGAGCTGTAAAAACATCTACACAGGTGTTATAATATACTTGACATAATTAATTAAGGAAATTAAGAAGGTGTAGATGTTATGCTTTTTAATTACTTTTATTTTGGCCTATCAGAAAAAGTAAGGGAATTTGAAAATGGGATAAAAAAAAAAAGTCAGGGAAAGATTAACCCAAAACCTGGAAAAAAAGACATGTTAACTTGTGAAATACTCACTTTTTTTTCTTTTGCATTGGAATCTGAACATGTATGCAAATGATGCTAGTTATTATTATATCTTACATATTTTATGTGGTGATGATTTTGTAATTTATTACATTTGATAATAGGTTAGATAAAAAATTTGTTTAAATATGTTTTTAAGTTTTTATTTCTCTTTATAAACAGATTACAATCTTATGTGGTGTTAATTAGGTAGAATTATGAGAAACAATCTATACACCTACAGATACAAAAAGACTGATACACTGGTGAAAAGCAATTAGATTGTAAAAATATGGATATTAAAAATAAAAAAAAGGCAGTGTGAGCCTTGGAAAGCCTGGTAGAAATAAGTAGCCTTTAAGTTTATATGTTGAGTGCCAAGTCATGTAAGACTCCATCGGTATTAGAAAAGCTGAGTGGCGTAATGCAAGTGTCTAGAGTATTGTTGTTGCATTATTCTTTTGTAGATTTTTATGTAATGTGCTAGAGTTTTTATCCTTTCAACGTAGTAACAAAATGTTCTCAAAACTTAAATGCTTTTCTTGTAAGAATGTATAATGGTTGTGAGTGATTTAAATGCAAAAAAATAATTTACTTCCACTTAAAAAAACTGCATCATGCAGCTTGTTAGGTCCATGTTTATAAACATGTGCTTCATAGCAACCTAAAGTGTAGACTCATGGTTATGGTCACAGTATGATAATATAGTATTGCACGTTTGATTTATATTATGTTTGATTCATATGTTCTAAGCAAATTCTCCCTTTTAAAACACAACTAAATTGTTTAATATAAATGTTGTAAGCATCATAGTAGATGCATTCCCTGGTTTATTTTGTTATTGATAAAGAAGTGAAATGTCATGTAATGTAAATATGATGTTTCAAGTCTGCATATTTTGGAAAACAGCAGAAAAAGGAAGAGGAGAAGTATGGTTTGTGCTTACAATGCTAAAATCCAGGGTTTGATTCCCCACAGCAAATAGCCCAATATGGCTTTGCTCTAAAAAAATCAAACAAACTGTGCTTTTGGCTGATGAAGTTTATGGGTGTCAGTACTCCTAAACCAGTAAAACTAATATATATATATATGTAGTCACAAATAGTTTTTGATCAACTTTTTATTATGTAACTTGGCACCATTCCTATAACAGTAAGCTCAACATATCACCACATTAAAGCTTTGTAATCATTGGCAAACATATATCTTTATGTCATTACTCTTGACCCATTATTGAAGTTTAAATTTTTCTGAAATTCTTTTATTATTAATGGGACAGTTTACTTTTTAATGTCTACGAAACTTCACCACCAATATTAGCAAGACATATTTTAGTTATCTTACTCTGATGAGTGAAATAAAGAAATGTTAAAAAAAGTTAATGTTAAGTAATGCTGACTTGGATACGTTTAACAATTAAACATATTGCAGGAACAGATATAAAACATGCATTAAGTATTTTCGTAAAAAGAATCATGAATACCGATTTTGAGATGACTTTTTTTCTGTTACTTGGAAAGACACAAAAATCTCTTGAAAGCACTTACCTCACATCTGTATTTTTGTATTTTCCAGGATTCTCTGTTTTGTGTGGCCACAGCATTTGCAACATACTACTATTAACATCTGCTTGTTGCTTTCCTTTCATATCAAAATATAATTATCTTTCTAGTCACATCCACTCGTGTTCGTACTTATTGTAGTGAGAGTTAAACTACATAGTTGAAAATCTGTGGCGAGGTAAGATCACTTACTTTACTTGAGGAAATCCTGTTGGTACAGTTTACTCATTTGTACTTAGATATTAATACATAAATTTTCTAGATAAGGGAATTTCTAACTGAGTTTTAACCTTTTAAAACCAAAACAACATAAAGTTCAGGTGAATTTTTGTATAATAACTTATGAATATTTTGTATGTAAATATGAAGCTATAAGAAAATCTTTAATTTTTTATGATCTGGCTAAGTTATTTTATCCAAAGGTTAAACATGTTTAAATATATCCTTTAAACAATTTGCAGCCTTGAGAAGTTGTGATATTGTCTGAAAATGACTTTATGTTAAAAAGCATTACTCTGCTTAACTTATTCTAATTCTCAATTGTGTAAGTTTTTAAAAAGATGTGTACATTGGAAATAAATATCACTGGTGGAATACCTGTTCAGTTGCATACTTCAGCATTAGTTTGAAAGTTTTAACCAGTTATACATTCCACATACCTCTTTTTTTTCTTTCTATCTACGATCATTTATTCAAAAATCTCCCTAGATTACTTTTTACATGTGCATTTGATAACATTTCTTAAATACTGAAGAAGAAAGGCTTTTGAAATAGATTTTACACTTAAAAAATGAGTGTGAATAGGTGGTGGTTTCTTAAAACATTTCTGTTTACAAGTTTACAAAATGTCCTAGTTTTGTAGGGAAATAAGTCAGTTTAATGCCTAACCTTAAATATATTTTATATTTTTAAGGTTACATTATTATTTGGAGGTTGTTTGTTGAGCTTTGTTGTTGATCTGAAAAACCAATGAAATGGGAATAATGTATTGAATATATATATATTTTAGAAGATATGTTGCAAACAGTTTGCATTGAAGTTTTTTTTTTCTCTAAAGATTGAATATATCTGAATAGTAAAATAATCTACATTTCTAAATCTGAAGAGTTTATCAGTTATCAAGCTGTTTCTCTGTGTGTAACGGTTTTGTTAATCAGTCTTACCAGCTCTGCTCGACTAATAAAAAATTCTGAGTGGGAAAGGTTTAAGTTTAATAACACATTTAGAAAAACATCTCTTGAATATTTCAGATGTAGAAGCTTACTGTACCAATTATCACTTGCAAAGGAAAAACATTATATAGAAAACTAATGTGAAAGCTATTAACTTTGAAACCAAATATTCTGTTTAGCAAATCAACCATACTTTGCTGTAGGAATAACTGTAGATTATTATAATAAAGAGAGTATATGATGGTGTATTTTATCTGTGAATGTGTAAGGTATAACTGTTACATTATGTATTTTCTATATTTCCTTTTTATTTGTATTTCTCCTTTGAAAAGCATTTTCAAGAAATATTTTTGTGCTGATGATTATTAATATCATTATTTATATTCTCTGATTGAAGAAAAGTATAGTAAATGATGATTTTAAGAGTTTAATATGATTATTCTAAATGGAATATGTATATATATATATATACATAATAAAGAGTTGCACAACTATACTGCATTTCAGGGCAAAGTTTGCTTCTGTGTGAGAGGGTTATCAACAAACTGATTTCTTGAGAATTCAGTAACAACAATACCTAAGATTACCTCAGTATCAAGACTTTATGGTTGATCAGGCATTCTTATGTAGAGTTCAGTACCAGAATATTAGTATAGACCTTTGTTAATCCTGGATACCAATGTTTCTTATTATCTAGAATAATAAAGATACAATAAACCACAAAGATTTGATTTGGTGCATATAAAATATTTAAAAACTGTGCAACAAACAGTAACTTTCTTAAAAGTAGCAGCATAAAGCTATTATTTAATAAAGTTATTACTTTACTTGAATACCATTACTTTATTAAGTAGTTTTCTTGGTCTAAACTATTGAGTTTTAGCAACTCGACAGCTCACTATTTGTCTTGAGCAATCAATAGAACAATTATAATTACATTAAGCAATCAATTTACTTTCAGTGAATCACTCGAAATCTAGTATAGTAAACTCAAGTTAATTAGACACCGACTAATTGACAAATTAATTTATACAATTAATAAACTGATTACATTTAGAATATAAGTAGATTCAATATCCCAGATTAAACTGCTCATTCTGAGCCTTGAAGCATTGTGTGATTAAACCTTTGGTCGTGTCATACCCAAGACCAGATTCAGAGTTTATCTACAATAACGAAATTGTATAGAATAACCATGTTAGTGACAAAAATATTGAGATGGGTTTTCATAGATAAATGAGTTGAGTATGTGTCTTACTGCTTCTGGCATTAGATCTAGCAGTGTATATTACTGGAGAACCATTCCAATCAATAAAAACATTCTGGCTATAACATCTTTTTTGGAACATTTCAGGCACTACTTCAATGAAGCATTCTTGAAATATTAATGGGGTTGTTGATCATGACAACTCAATTGAGAACCACTGAGGTCAGTGGTTGAGTTGGAAGGATTGTAATGACAGAATGATAAACTTTCTGAAGACATTGATGTCATGAGAAAGAATGGGTGTCCCCCTACAAAAGTATCTGGGTTACAATGAAAATTATATAACAAACCCACCCCACTAGAAAACATTTACAAAATAAAGTGTAACAATTGCCCAGTCTTTTACATAGGTGAAACAGGATGTAACTTGAAGATCAGGTTAAAAGAACACCAAACCCCCCTTCTGAAGTCCATGAGCATATAAAGTAAACAGACAGTTTTTTTTAACAGAATGTCATAATACTAAAATGTGAACCCGACATAATAGAAGAAAAATCAGATAAGCTTTATTAATAACATAAAACAATCTCACAATTAACAAATACCCAAGCACATCTCTATATGCCTTTGATTATTATTTCCCCAAACATTCTTAATCTGATGTAAGTAATTTGCATAACATATTCCATATTTTTTTATTTATTCACTTTTTGTTTGTTTTTTCTGTTCAGCCATAAATAAATAATCCTTAAATTTATACAGATTAATATGCACATGCTTGAGTAACCATTTTCAATTCTAAAATTTAAATACACTGTTGAATGTTGATTTAAGTACTAAAACCTTCTTTACAGTTACAACTTGTGTACTTGGGAATGATTGTACCAGTGATAAAAATGTCATACCTGTTCTAAAAATAAAAACAAATCTTCCTTACTGTAAAAGGTGTAAATAGTAATAAAATAAAGTATCATAATGTAGCTAGGAAAATTGAAAGATGAGGAATAAATAGAACACTGGTAACATCAGTAAAGAAACTCTTCTACCTCCTGAGAGACAGCCAGTATCCACATGAGCGGTCAGTGCATATCAGCACAAACCCCTGGGAAGTATTCAACTGAATTAGCTGTACTGATGATGTTGAGGTGTTATGGAATGACTTGTTACATGGTAGGACAAAGTACTCATGGTTCAATAACTTGAACAAAGTTACACTTATTTCCAACTTTTTAGCAAATCCATGTATATTGATATCTAAGTTTGGACTAATAATAAAATGTTGCATTTTATTATATTAATTGTTTCATGGTAATGAGATGTGTGTGTGTGGTTTATGTAACAGATTGGATAAGTGAGGGAATTTTCATCACGTCTTTTGAGAAAAAAAAATAGTTGAATAAAAAATAAATGTTTCTGGTGAGTGAAGAAGGATGGAAGGCGACATGCTCATCTAAACTTCAAGAATATCAACAAATATCTGCACAAAAGCAATTATCGAACCTTCATAATAATGCATTTTCTTTTTTATTAATTAAAAAATAAAAACTGTCATTAACTTTTGATTAAATTAACTGTCCTACCTGTAATCCTCGGGTACTTAAAATAAACGTTTGTCAGGCTAATCAGAAATATTTGAAAGAAGTATAGACCTTTTTTTCAACTGTCTGTGCTGTGATAACTTAAAAGCTATTTTTAGGCTATAGCACAGCCTACTATTAGCCACTTTTCTCCACAAATACCATATTGTAATTATATTTCATATAAAACTGTTTATAGTTATGAATGACAACTATTGTATTTTAAGTTTGATTAAAAAAAATTTCAAAATCAGTAGAGAAACTATACACTGAAGTCCTATAAGGGATGCTACTCAGTAATGAATGATACATGATAATCAGTTATTCATTGTAATTTATGTGATGAATGCCTAAATATTTCTAATAAAATATTTATATACACAGTTTGTTAATGTTTGTACAAAACTGATCTGTGATTTAATTTCTTAAAACATACTTTCATTTCTAAAATTGCATATTATTACAAAATTATTAACACCAGTGCACCTAGTTAATAGATAAAATAGAACTGATTATTATAAAAACATAAGTGACCATACATACTCCAGAGAAAAATCAGGTTTATAATGTGAGAACTCATTGTCTATATGTATGTATAATGTCTTCTTGCCAGCATCATAAATTCCTGTCACTGTATATTTCTAACAGTTGATACACCATCACCAAGTGCTTAACCCAGGAAAAAAATGTAAGGTATGACTACGTGTGACTGAAGAGAAAAGGCAGTGCTCTATTGCTATTAACAAATCTAATAGTATTATAGGGTGTATTTACAGATATACTGATTATAAGTCAAAAGAGGTAATTATTTCTTTATACAAGTCACTAGTTAGGCCTCACTTGAAACATTATTTACAGTTTTGATTTACTTGTGTAAGAAAGGATAATGGCTTATCAGAAAGGGTTCGAAGGGTTATCTTATGAGAATAGGTTAAAATTTCTTAATTTCAGAAAAAAAAGGTAAGAGGTGATTTTATTGAATTTACAAGATTTCCAGAGAGTTCAATAAAATAACGACCTCTGATTTCTTTGTGGTACATTCTGAAAATAATGGGACAAGAGCATTAGGTTAGGCTCCACTAAGTTTTGTTTTTCTAACAGGATGAATGGCTAATGGAATGAGTTTCTGTCAATGGTAGTGGATGCTGGTACTTTACAATTTTAAAATGAAACTTGGTAATTTCCTGAAAAAATAAAGGGAAGATTTAAATGTTTACTTTTTCTCAAAAGTAGTTGTGTAGGGATATCTTGTATGACCAAATGGTCCCTTGTTGTCCATTTGTTATATTAATGAAAGTTCAATGGCTACCCATGACTTTGTATCTTAAAGCAATAGTGTCCAGCTTAAGCTAATCCCAGATCTATAACTTCAAGCAGAACTACCCAGATTAAAGTTATCATGGTTTTAATTCTTCCAGCAAAAATATACAATTTGGGGTATCAATTTTCAAGCAGAAGTAACCAGTTTAAGCTGATACTGGTTTTATGTCTTCCACAGGTTGAAGAAATGGGCACAAGGCTAACAAAAGTATTATTCATGTGAGGCATCGTGAGAAAGGTTTTGTGATGTTCATATGCAGCATCATCCATTCTTTTTAGGGTCTGTGTTCATTACATGGGTAATCATCAAGTGTTGGAAAATGGGTATGTTTAAAATGTGCTTAACTGTTCAATCACTTCAGTAGGCTTGCACATCAAATATGCAGTGCTCTATGCTAAGACTCTAATACATAGCAATTTTTAAAAAGAAATAATCCCAGTTTAATTCTCTTAAAAAAGATAATTTTAGGAAGCCATTTCAGGAACAAAAATGTTCCTAGTAACATAAAACAGCAGAAATTTAAGCTTACTACTGCAATAGTATGAGTTTCTAAAAAGACTAATGATGATAGCTAGTCAGTTAGCACATTAGCTCAGTTGGTAAAGCACTCAACTGATGTGTGAGAGGTACCAGGTTCAACCATGAGCTCAAAGAATGCAAAAAAAAAATATGAAGGATTACTATACTAGGTTCATAATGGAAAAGTAAGGACAAATTAACTTCAATTTCTGTTACCCAATCATTTTCCCAGATACTTTAACTAATGTAAATGCACTGTTCCATTTCTTTTAGGTTCTCCTTAGTTCTATATTTTTAAAAATTCTGTAGTTATATGATGTAACATTATAAATCAGATTTGTTTTCTCTACTCCAAAAGTCATGCTGATATAGCTCATCGTGATAAAGTGATTTAACAGGCTTCATAAGTTTATTTAATAAAGAGCGATTTTAAATACTTATATAAATGTACAGATACTTTCTCATCTAACATCACAAATTCCATCTGAGGCTCTCACAGTTCATCTTGTATTCCATATAAGTATTAGGTGGCAGATTCAACACTCTCTTTAAAGTATCTCGGATCTTGATGGTGGTGGCATTATCACTGCCTGTCTTATTCCATACTGATATGATGTCCTCCTTGAACAAACAAAAACAGTCATTCATTAAGTAAATCTTTAATATTTGAAGCTTTAATTTTTCATGAGACATTTTCAGGATATGGAGAGATGTAAAAAGATTTTAATACACATTTCACTACACCGTAATTATAACATATATATAATGTGTACTAAACTCACTATTAAGTTCATCCATGTAATCTAATGTATTCTTATAACCTTATGCTTTAGTATTTGCTACACATGTATATTCACAAAAAATACTGTATTGTTACATCTGCTGTGGAATTTTCAATTAACAGCAATAAAGCTTTCACTACCATTCTTACTGTAATAGAGGGCATCATATATACACACACAGACAGAGAGTAAATGCTTTGTTGTGCAGCATCTACCTAGAAAGCTCTTGTAACAGGAAATTTCAATATCTCAAGTTTCAAATGCTCATTGGAGGAACTAGCATTCAGTACAATTCTGAAATGTCTCAGAACATTCTTGATTGTACTTAACTGATGCTGCTGTGACTTTGTTCTTTTCCACTGGCATATTGCGCTTGTTAGCCACTAATATATTACTTCATTTACAATACTGTCCTGTAAGGGTTTTTACAACATTTACTGTTGCTTATAACAGTTACAGTTAAAGATGATGTAAAAATACTGTACTTTAGAATATTAACAAGGTGTCAAAATTTTTCTTGTAAAATATCATAAGGGAAATGGTTTTATAACCACTGTCCAGGTCTAGCAAAAGCCAGATAATAAAGCTTTTAATGAATAAGTAAAAATATATATTTCTCATACCAAATTGCAAAAAATAACTGTAGTTTTACACTAAATAATATTTTTAAACATACAACTAATTTAAAAAAAAATCCTGAAAAAGTAAAAGATGGAAGTTATTAAATAACTGTGCAAATAATTTCTTAATACAGAGCTGAAAACAGACTTCTGAAAAAATATCTTTGGTTTTGGTGTTTATATTTATGCCTGTTAGAAACCAAATGTAACAAATGACACAATAAAATGTAATGTAAATAAGTTACTTTTTACAATGAAAAAAAAAACCCTACCTGGAAACGTACTGCTATCATAGCTCCGCATATTTCTTCTCCCACCATGAATTGCTCACCTAAGATTGCTAGGATAAGGTTTTCCCAACAACGTGAAGCTAAGCCTTTTCTTAACCGTAAAACCCAACGACCACCATTTCTGTTAGCTTCATCCTTTTGTTTCAAAAATTAACAGGTATGATTTTTGTAGTTATGAGTAAACCTTTGTACACAGTTTCATATTTTACTTGTTAAAAAATTCATAAATAAAATATCCCAAGGTAAGTAACTATTATTTGACAAAACTTCAGTGTAATATTTTCGGTATACATGAATAAGAAATTTAGTTTTTTATAAATAATTTAACAGAATGAGTTTCTTTTGAGACTTTATTTTTACCTTTTTAAAAGTGATTTATATCAAATGAAATAAAAATATTTACAATAAAACAAATTACCTGTTGCAACACTGTCAAAAGGACTATGGTGTCAACTTCATAATGTACAGCCAATAATGAAAAAAATTCCATAATTTCATAAAAATAGTATGTTTGTGTGTTTTTTGAAGTTCGTGCAAAGCTACACGAGGGCTATCTGTGCTAGCCGTTCCTAATTTAGTAGTGTAATACAAGAGGGAAGGCAGCTAGTCATCACCACCTACCGCCATCTTTTGGGCTACTCTTTTACCAACGAATAGTGGGATTGACCGTCACATTATAACGCCCCCACGACTGAAAGGACGAACATGTTTGGTGGGATGGGGATTCGAACCCGCAACCCTCAGATTGAGAGTCGAGCATCCTAACCACTTGGCCATGCCAGGCCTAAAAATTGTGTGTGTTTATATATATATATATATATATATACATACATACACATATGTCCCAACTTATGGATTAAGTAGTGTTTAGTTTCTCTTAAGATCCATTAATGAGACAACACCCAACCTTATTGATAATATGCATCTTTAAAATTTAGTTTTAATATCAATTTTAATTAAACAAGTTTCTAATGCTATGAAATATGTATGATAATTACAGAGAAATATGTCGATTATATTATAATCACATAATTATATGCAAAAATAAAATTTTATTTTTATAAGCTTCACAAATATGAAAGCACTACATTTATTGGATTTCTTGCTGTGATTTATCTCTTCTTTCTTACTTGTTTCTTTGTATATAACTTTAATTATCTTTTATGACCATAAATTAAAATTTCAAGATAAAATGACTACAAGAGAACTTGTGTGAGTGAAAGAAATAAGTTCATCCCTCAAATTAGTTAGCTCATATAAATGTACTTTGGATAAATAGGAGTAAAACTTATTTTTGAACAGTTAAGATTTGTATACAAGCTTAAAACTTAAAAGTTTCTTACGCATAACTATTACTTCAATAGAACATTTACTACTAACCTCCCACATAGGCCTGATTCCTTCCTTGAAGAGATGAAAATCAATCTGCCCAGTCAGTTCTGAAGGTCTGACAAGATGGCTGTAAAATGACCAAAACTTTCCAACCTGTAAAAATACAACGGGGAATAAATATTGATGCATTCACTTTCCTTATTAGTAACAACGATTACGCATGGATTAAAAGTTAATTGTTTCTTATGTAACTACCCATTAATATCATAAAAAACTTAAAGAAGTGACATTCTTTACCATCAATATACCTTAGTTGATGATGGCTGACATAACTGGTCATGATATGTTTTTTTTATAACATGAGAGCCTAATATGTAAGAACTTATTATTCTTTTCTTTTTACAACAAAAACTATGCAACTTTACATACCAGTAAAGAAGATTCAGTGAAATGGTATGATGCAAGATTATCAACTGGATTTTGAACATAGTTATCAGTATGGATACTTTGAAATATGTAGGGGTATACTGTAAATGGATTCCTAACATTAGGTAGGAGCTCTTAAAAGAAATTTAAGGGTACAGCAGTCTCCTAAGTTTAGGTAGTTGAATTGTACTTATATTCTTGAGGTCAGACCAGCTTGCTTTCTTGCTCCTAATTTAACACGCAGTTTACATTTAATAAATTGTAATTATGTACTTTTTATTCTAAGTAGTCCATATATATATATTACTTATTTTGTATATGAACACTCAATAGATAATAGGTATTTTCAATGTGAATAGCATCTTGGGCAACATGTAGACTAAACTCCCTTCTCATTGGCCCTCAAGATTGAAGCACAGCCAGTATTCAAGAAGAAGAATTCAGTGACTATTTCCACATATTGACAATGAATAATAAGCAAATGTAATTCAAACTGATTGGTGTACAGTTGGTTACTATTTCCGCATATTGACAATGAATAATAAGCAAATGTAATTCAAACTGATTGGTGTTCAGTTGGTTACTATTTCCGCATATTGACAATGAATGATAAGCAAATTTAATTCAAACTGAATGGAGTACAGTTGGTTATGAAATGACTATATTTTTATAATACCAAAAATAGTTTACAAACTGTTCCAACCACATTACCTCAGGCCTCGGCTTGTGAATGAGCAAGCTATCTTTTATTCTGAGGCTCTGTACATGATTGGCCCTTGCTAATGTGTTAAGCAAACTAAAATGGATGAAAATGTTACATTATCCTAGAGCATGTTCAATTATGCTTGATTTAATGGGAGATCTTAAGTTAGAATATTCTATAACTCATTTTAACAGTTCAAGAATGTTTAATATGGTTTGCCACAAGAAAGTGCTCTCACATAAGTTTTAATTCATTTGTTTTTTCCTATACCAAAGTTGTGATACATATGTATAATTGCAATAATTATTATCTTTATCAAACAACACTCATAAAAAAATAACATAAAAAAACAACTCGAATGTTATTAAAGTAGTACCAGTACCAAAACACTGAATATTGCCACTACACTAATTCAGTCTGTCAAGAAAAAGTAAAATTTATTAGGATTTTTTTTTACTTTGCTACTGAACACATAAAGGGTAGATGTCACATTTTGTCCAAATTATCACTTATGTTCTTTTTACTATCGGAAATGTTTATTTGATGAAATTACAAAAAACATGTCAGAACATATAAAAATTTGGTTACTGTAGATTTGATATTCTAGGATATGTTGTGTACCTACACTAGTTACTCAGTGTTGTAACTTTAATCTGAAATACAAAAATAGTTCCACGTAAAACATCAGTACGCACAATACAATAGGAATATTATTTGTAATAGTAATGAAATGCAAAATTTATTTGCTTATGTTTGTGAATGTGTTGAGATTTAAATACAGTACAATACAATACAATAGGAATATTATTTGTAATAGTAATGAAATGCGAAATTTATTTGCTTATGTTTGTGAATGTGTTGAGATTTAAAAAGTTACTTTTCTAGATTTTCGTAGACATTGCCTTACTTTGGTAATGTAAGAAATTTATAGATATATATATGGCATAAATACAAAGAAATGCTAAAAATCCTCTAAAGGAAAAATATGTGGACAATGTTTCTTTCAAATGATAACAGTCGGTTAGTTGAAATGTTCATTGGACTATTTAATTATTTTTCCCTTTACCATAACGTGAACCATTTCTTTGCATTTTAAGATTTTTATCATGTTACAGTTGTATTTGTTGTTTATATTATATAAGCAGATGATTAGTTGAAATCACTTACAAATACTTACAGTACTAAAAGTGCCGATCATTTTCAAGTTTTGATCATAACTTCGTAAACGAGGCTGTCTACAGTACCAAAAAGCATAGCTGAACTGAAGCTGATGTTCACCTGGGTCTTGTAGTGGTGGATCAATTTTTATCTTTAGAAAATAAAGTGCATTTTGTTATAAACAGCAAACTTCAATTAACTGATGTCCTTTGTTTAATCATTATCAATTATTAGACATTTCTAGTTTTAAAAAATCCTTATTTTCAGGAAGCACTGCTTATATGCTGATGTTTCATTCATGAGCCAAATTCTCAGTATTATATGGGTAAAATGTGTAAATAGTGTCCTTACAAATAAAAGAGAAATCAATAATTTCAATGAAAACAAGGTTTACCTTCTTTGATTACACACATGCATGATCTTTTTGATAACTAATGTCTCAACACACCAATATCATTCAATAGGAATTCTACACTACTTTGGCCTCTGTAAGCAATACAAATCTTTTCTTGTTTCTGCCATATTGTTTACCATGTCTGTTATACATAAATGTAAAAAAATTTACACTTAGATATTTATAACATTACAAAAAAGATAAACAATATTTAGATTTAAATATCTTAAGATAATCTTTCTACATTGATATTAGTCTAACTTCAAAAGGAATTCTTTTGAGCTTTCATATGCCAAAATGACACCACTTTGACATACTATAGGAAAAAATGGCACCAGTAATAACAACTCTGTTGATAATGGTATCATCTTTCCAAAATCTTTTCCTTGTTGATTTAGAACTCATGCTGTAACCAAAACATGACTCAAAATTTCTGAATGTAATCTTACTATAATGGATGTAGCATGTATGTCAGTATCTATGTATATAACCAAAACTCCTGTGCAATCTATTAAATGGCACCACAAACAAAAATCCATAAAAAAATTCACACTTTGGGTATTCAAGATTCAAACAATTAGAAAAATAACTAGTATGTGCAACAACCATTTCTTTATAATGGAACACAATTTTAAATAAAAGTACTCTCCTCACAACAAAAACATGACTTTTACTAGGACTGTACATGAGGGTTTGATTATATCTTTATTGATGTAATTTTTAAATGTAGTACTGAAAAATTGGAGTTCTTAAAAAAAATATTATTTTTTCAATAAATGGTACCACTTTTAATATATAAAAACATTACAGTTTATATCAGTAAATCGTATGAAAATTTTGAGCTTTTTACATTGAATCATTTTGATGCAATGAGTTCCGTACGACAAAAGAGTGCAATCCGAACACTTTCATGTGCAATACTCCCCTGCCTCCCCTAAAAAATGCCTCTTTAGAAAATGTTCACTTTTTCTAAATTTTTTCAATGAAGAATGAATACTACAATTTCTGCTAATATGAATTAATTGAAAACAAATCTAGTAATCCATAATACACCATTATAAGGTACTTTTACACTGGTGTTCCAATAATCCTAATTTTATTACTTTACCATTCAAAATATAGCCAAAAAAAGTCAATCAATTAACAAGACTTTGAAGTTTTACTAATATCATATCATGCTGTCCTTTATTTCTCAGTTAATCATTATTTTTCACATAGGAGCTTCTAGCTAAACTGCACCTACTCTTCAGTACATTCAAGAAATAAAAGGAAAGTCATTTAAAACTCAGAGTTAACTGACCTTTATAAGGAGAAAACAAACCACAGCAATATACTTTAAATTTTACTACTGATTGAAATCTTCCATCTCTTAAATATCATCACATTTTTATTTCCTTCAACTAACATGTTCTGTTTTAATTTTCTGCTCACCTAAAATACAACATAAATTTTAATTTCAAAACATTTTTACTCATCTTTGATAATATAAGTATGATTACACAGAAAACAAATTTTGACCCAATGGAAAGGCGAATAAAGCAGTATATACATGTCATTTGCAGTATAAAGTTTTCTAGAAAACAACATAAATTTCTCAGAAACATGATGTAGTTGGTTATAGCATTGTTCAGAAATACACTTAGATTTGAAAGACTTGTGGTACAAAGGTAGTTTTTAAATATGTAATTGATACTATTGACAAATAAATAAAAATTACTGAAATTTGACTTGATTGGACTGTAAATGTTCTTTTTAACATTCTTTGTTAGCTATTCCACATAGAATACAACCAAAGCTTATTTCAGTGTAATATTTCTATGATTAATATACTTTTAAATTTTCTATAAACTAGTTTTAGTCAGTTATAAAGAGAAAGAAGATTATAAGATTATGTTAAGATGCAAAACCTATTAATTTTAATTTTAACAAGCAACCTCTGACTTAACCAGAGAAAATTAAAGTAATTTGCTAAGTGGGCAGGGTCCCCACCAAATGTGCAGAAGCATATGTAAATTACAGGAATGGGTAGAGTGTTATGAGACGAGCATTTTGTTGCAGTTGGAAAGGTTGAAAGCTGTAGAGTAGATGAATTACACAGTGGCAAAGTCGGGCTGCTTAGGGTGATGACCAACAATGTTGACCTTTATAAGCCCTGACAGTGATTTTCTTGGTTGTTGTTCTTGTTAGTTGGCTCTGTTTCTTTACCAACTACCTGCTAGCTATCACTTCAATCTTTCATGCCAGTCATTATTTCCTCTATATCATTTATTTACTATTTGTCTTCTGTTGATGACTCCTCATCATGTCGTTATTTATTTTATTTCTAATGAAATATTTTAATCAGCATAGATTATTTCTCTAGTAAGCCACTGTTTTTTGGTAATTTGGACACTCAAAAACCCTGAAATGTGCACACAACTATAATATTTTGTTTTGTATGTTTTAGCAGGTAGTCCTGCTATTATTACCATGAATTTCCTATTACTTTGACCCTGCTCCAGATCTAGAGAAAGTATTTAGCTTTTATTGCTTTTTTCTTGCTTGTTTCAGGTTGTTTACCCTATTCTTGATTTGACTATTGGCAGGAAGTTTCCTCTTATTGTCATCTGCAAAAGCTGCTTTATAAGCACTGAAACCTTCTTTGAGCAATAAGCTCTATGTAAAAATGAGCACAGTTTGCCTTTATCATTATATATATCTATTGTAATCACATCCACACTTGGTGCACTGGTAACATTCCAAGCATTATGTGACTTTGCACTTATAGGTCAGCTTCCAAACTGAAACTTCTGACATTTTGTTGTTTTCAGAATTTGTCATGCCTAGTGGAGGGATTTAGACATTTTGGTATTAAAGCTTGAAACAAATTACCTTAACTCTTCAGATAATAATAACAAAATATTATTATTTCAGCCAACATTTCACCATTGTGGATTCATTAGGGCTAATGGTATAAAAATTACTGTACTACTAGCTCTGATGAAGCTTCAATGGTGAAAAGTTGGTTGAAACCTGGAGTATAACTCGTTTTTTCTAACTCCTGACATTTGTATGGTATAAGCACTTTGAAGAAAAGTATGTACTCAGTAAAATCACATTAGAATGTCTGATGGCCAGAAGCCAAATTATTCATTAAAATTTACTCTCACTAACCCTAAAAAGTAATTTTATTTTGTAAATACTTCTCTATTTCAGGATTTCCCTCTACCATTCAACTGAATTCATTATAAAATAAACTGTATTCTTAGAGACTTGCAGAAAACACAAGAAAATACTAAATTTGAAAGGCTTAGAATGGTTTAGCAAATGTGCTCTGGATAATAAGTCAGAGATCACTTGTTAAATGATAAATTATGAAGTATATTTATTTCAAAATTGATTTATATCTAGAGTTTTAATTCCCTTTGACCTTCAAAGGTTTGAAACACATTACTGAATGAAGATTCAAACCTTGAACAGTACTGATTTGCATAACTTACTGATGACATCACCCTAACTACTAATTCATATTTGACTGAAAACCTTTTTATTTTACAGGGAATTCACATAAATGAAATATAACATTCACTGGTAGTTTAAAAATGTATTATATAGAACAGTAATCATGCTTTTATAATTTAAATAAATAAATAAAATGCACATTATTGCACACATACATGACTATAGATGCAATACTCATACAACTTTTTACAGTAAGCTTGCATTGCAAGAGCAACAATTAAAAGAACTGCAGCTGACTTAAACAAAATAAATATTTATCTAACAGTCTCTATTCCAAGCTGGTTAACACCCATAGTCTTTTTAATATAAAACTGTTGATTAATTAAACATTATAATTATTAGTGTTAGCATATATTTCATGTTTCCTACTTATTCTAACTTAACACTCTGCTTACATCTTTTACACTAGGCTTTCAGTACCTTTGATTGAGGCAATGCAGCTGCTAAATGTAACATCTTGTGCTTCGTTGTACAGATCTGCTCAATTTATAGAAGGAGATGCTATGTATAACATTTTTGGTGGTGGTTTTTATCTTTTACACAACAACTTTTGTTTAAGTAATGAGCATTATATAAATCAAAAGATTAGGTTTTACATGTCAGTGACATTTAATATGCAATTACTATTCAAACATTTCAAACAGTTTCTGTTAACAAGAGAGAAACATCTGATGTGAACTATCTTCAAATTTCTGACCAGCTAACAGCTCTTCAGAGGTAGTCCTACCTGATTTTGTGAAATAGCCATTTTATATAATGTTTTATCACATTATTTAAAATTACATTTACTCAATAAATTGTAAACAAGTTTCAAAAGAAAAACTGCCTAATTTTTACCTGACTTATATCTGGCATTTCTGTTGAAAGTCGAGCAGTATCTTCTTCTCCACTATCTTCGTTTTTTAACCTGATTACATAAAAAAATCTTCATATAACTATGAAATTATATTTTATCCTAGTAAGGTTTATTATAACAAAATCAGATATATATATATAAGTAGGATAAATTAATCTTTAACTGAATCTCAACCACAAAAATTCTGTATTGTAACTACTAACAAATAAATTGCACTAAAAGAATCAGTCAAATGAATGATGTACATAAATTTCAACTTGCACTGTAATTAACTAATGTTGGACAGGCATGCAGGGCAAATTTTCACATTAATCTCTTAAGTGGTCTTTACTTTTCAGCACATTATCCACAGTTGCTTTAAATATGAGTAAATAAGATGAACTGCATGGGACACTAATTAAAGTCCAAATGTTAAAGGTAAAACCTAATGTCAAATTGCTAGATTGCAATTCCAGTGACATGACCCTTGCTTGAATTAACCTGTCTAAATTGTTTCCAGAGTAGGAAAAAACAATTGTCTCAACTCTTCTTTTTTTGATAACTTTAAAGGTTTCCTATAAAGACTACTTTAGGAGTATTACCATGGATGGAGCTGTCAATGGATTCATTTGATCACCTACTTAGAGAGAACTCCCCCAATGATAAGACAGCCAATGATGATAAAGAGACATGAGGTTGTCCCCTCTGCATACCATTGGCTTTGGAAGAGAAAACCATCAAAAAGACTTGATGAATGGACAGTTCAGTGTACTGATTTATTTATGTGTTAGGACAGTCAAGGAAAGAAATAGTGTTGTAAGACATATTTTCATTGTTGTAATTTAGATATTTGCTAGAGGGCATATGAGGTTAAGATTCATAAAAGTAGTCTTTGAATGTTCATGAACATTAATGACCAACATAATTTCTAAAATTTCTAGATATATTATAGGATACATTATAAATACACAAAGCAGGAAAGCATTGAGTCAGTACACATTTTCAGTTTGTTCAGTGAGTGAAAAGTTAGTGAAGTATTCATATCAGCATTATCGCCCATATTCAGTTATTTGATTGATTAGCCATGAAACCGTACAGTAAGTTTATTTGTATGTTAGTCATAGTGCCATTAGTAAGTACTTTTCCATTGAAAGTGAAAATGCAATTTGTGAACTATGGCCTAAAGTTGTGTATAAGTGATAGTAGCCTTTTATAAATGTTAAGGAAGAAATAAATTAATTTGTTATTGTTACATGAACTGGAATTCCCATTATTTTGAACAAATAATTTAAAAGAACTCACTCGATTAAAGAACATGTTACAACCATAACTCACTGAGTTCAAAGGTATTTACACATTTGTTTCTAGTTGACAAGTCTCTTAAGCCATCCAAGCAATGTGCTGTTGCTAGTAGAAAGGCAAATAGGATATTAAGTTTTATCTGCAGAAATATTCAATACAAGTCTAAAGAGATTATAATTTCATTGTATAGGTCATTGGTTAGACCATATTTGTGATACTGAGTTCACTCTTCAGTGTCTTACCATAGGAAGGACACTGAATTGTTTGAAAAGGTTCAGAGAAGGGCTATTAGGATGATACGTGGGATGTAAGGATTGTCATACAACTTAAAATAACAGATTATGACAGTCCAGCCCTTGCCCATAATTTCAAAATGATTATTTCAAATTTGAAATAATATAACTTTTATTCCATTTAATTTAAATTCACTTAATTGTTCTACACTTTTACCACATATATTGCTAAAGTCTACTAACTACAAAAATCTGTACAGACCTGGTCTTCTCACCATGCACTGACAAAACTTTTGAGAGAGTTTGACAGCAGGAGAGTAGGTAATACAACAATGAGCAAGTCAGTTAGGCCTATTACATACATGATTTGATGCGACTGTCAGTTTGATGTCTTTATTATAAAAAGGCCAGGACATTTTGTAACTCTCAAGAACTTTTCTTGGGACAAACTACCAAAAAACAGGACTATCTTGGCAAAACCAGGATGCCTGGTCACCCTATATTTAATGGTGAGAATGATAGGTCTAGGAGATGCAAATATAAATTTTGACAGGGCAGGAGCTATCTTCAGCTAAGACAGCTTTATTTTTCTAACAGGGTGGTTGGCCTTAGAAACAGTTAATTTAAGGAAAGGCTTAATAAATAATAGAATAATAAAAGTTGGCTTTGAGTTTTATTTTACTTTTTAAGTTTAGTGGATGGAAAGGCCTAGATGGACCAAAAGGTCCCTTATTCATAAATTATATGTATACGTAATATCCCTTGTAAAGTGTACAGCCTCTTTTTTGTATTCTTTAATTTTCTGTTAAAATGCTTTATAATAACTGAGCTTGGTACCAACAACAATCATCATTCTGCATACCATTCACTGATTCAGCAAGAAATATTGCGAAATCCCACTGTATATTATTTATTTATTATTATGCTAAGAATGGCATAATATACAAACCATTTCTTTACTTTATTTCGTCAAACTAATTTTTGAGGTACGTTACACCGCGTACAGTTGATTGTTGAAGTAAGAATGTTTTTATCTGAACAACATATGTTAACCGAAGGACATTAATAGTAACAGAATTTTGTAAAAAATCTGTATGTGTGTGTAATGAAATGTAAACTGTAATAACAATATTAACATGCCTCCTGCACACAATACACTGCAGCGGTTTACTTATTTTCTTTTGCTTTCAAGTTTCAGGCCTAATATGAATAATACTAATAGTAATATTAAGAGTGAGTAAGAGTAAGAAAAAAAATATTTAATAATTTATGAACATCGATCCGGTGATGGTGTCGATGTCATGATGATGCTAAGGTAGTTTTACTTCCTCTATAAGTTATAACGTACAAACCTTAACAATAAACTATGAATAAACCAACTTACGCATCAAACTTATTATTCATAACAATAAAACAGCAATATACTATTTAAATCACAGGAAAAAACAAAAACAAAACGAACTTGTAAATTACTTTGGATATCCTAAACAAGAATATGACGTAACGCTCTCTAACGGTAACAAAAACTGAACAATTAACATGTAATTTATAATAATATTTAATTTTTAAATATTCAATTTCAATTTACAATTTAAAGTTATAAGCTAATCGAATCACATAAAATATTTAAAGTATTAGAAAAATGTTGTTCACTATTATATTATTGATATAAAAATGGTAATTTATTGGTTTGCTCCTCGCTGCTTCAGGGGAGGTACCAGAAGATTGGACGTTAGCTAATATAACTCCTCTTTTCAAGGGAGGTGATAAAAATTGTTCCTGTAATTATAGACCCATCAGCTAAGACATTTTATTTTTCTAACAGGGTGGTTGGCCTTTGGAATGGGTTGCCTTCAGATGTTTTAGAGGCAGTAAGTTTAAGAAAAATCTTGATAAGTATATGAATGAAAAGGGTTGGGTTTAAAATTTTTCTTCTTATTATTTTTTCAATCATTTTAATTTAGTTTTGAGGATGGAACAGCCGAGATGGACCAATAAATCCCATGTTGTCCCAAAATATTATGTAATTAAATAGTCTTGCATAATAATTGAAAATTCGAACAAGAGACTTACAGAGTAACAGAGTTTGAAAATTCGGCTGAATTTTAAGCCGCGTGAAAAATAAATACATTGGACACGTTGATGGAATAGATATCCAAGCCCATTCACTGGAAACCATTGTGGATACACAACAGAGTCACTTTGTGTGGGTGGTTGGTTAACCTTTAGTCTAGGTTCAGCCTGATATGGTGGAGGTTGACTTATCTGAGGGGTAGCCATGAAAACTGTTGATACAGGCTTTTTTCTCACTAATGACTGGCATAAAATTACCACGTCATAGCAGTTCACGACGGAACCTACCTCTGTCAGGGTTTCACCTAAATATTGTCTCATGGTTTCACTGGAGAGACCATCAATGAACTTATCCACAATGATAACCTCCTAATCTACAGCATGATAGACTGACCATTTCTCCACGAGTCATATAGGTGATGCATCTCCCAGTCTTCTTTTTTCATAAAATTCTAAAGGGACAAAAAGAAGCTTAGTAGCTCATCAAGGATGTCATTTCCAGTTCCTAACTATAACCACTCCTTACTACTCATGTATTCATTCAATCTTTTCTTGAATTCAGTTAAATTTTATGTCTCCACCACCCTTGAAGGCAGCTCATTCAAAAAGCCAACCACCCTGACAACTCTTACGCTGCCAAAATTTGAATTTATGACCCCTTGTCCTATTGTTTTTCACTGCAAAACACGAAAATGTTTGATGTATCTATATTATTAAATACCCATAATAATCTTAAACACTCCAATCAAGTCTTCTCTGACCCTTCTCCTCTCCAGAGAAAACAAGTTTTGAGATTTTAGTTCCTCATAAGACAATCCCGCCATTCCAGATATCATCCTAGTGGCTCTTGTCTAAACCTTTTCCAACAATTCAATGTCCTTCCCGAGGAAGGGAGTCACAAACTGTACACAGTACTCTAAATGAGGTCTTACGACTGATCTATACAGTGAAACAATAATATTCCTTGTCTTGTATTCAATATTTCTATAGATGCTACTCAAAATCCTATTAGACTCATTGCTAGCTACAATACACTGTTTAGATGACTTCATTGATTTTTCGATCCCAACACCAATATCTTTTTCTTCAACCACAATATTTAATGTATTCCGATTTAAATTGTAACTTGCTGCTTTTCATCCAGGTATTTAATGTGACTGAGGATCAGGTATTGGATAGTCTGTTTCAGAGTCCACCCATTCCAAGCAATTACCTGCCTGAAATGCTTTAGAAAATATTCCAAGTCTTCTTTTGACACACCTTTGAACATTGTTGACGAAATCTGCTTGGCTTCGTACATAGGGACCTATAATGTTGGCCAATACCTCTTCCTTAAAAGTTCTCGTACAATATATGGCAAAGATGCTGCTGATATCACAGGTGCAGGGTGATGGACATATTCAGCAACCCCAATACTTGGATGAGTAATCGGTCCTTGGTCCTGGGAAGCAGAGTGGTGAGTTTGTAATACATATACAATAGTTTTTCATTACACAGTCAAGCCATCTGAAAACTTTTATTTTCTAAAAAGTGAGTTCCTGGTTATCAAGTTTTAATTATTCATACATCCCTACACAATTAAATGTTTCGTCACAAGTCGTGGTCGACGTCACAGGGTACTTCCTCGCTCAAAGAGGCCCACCACCTCATGGTTACTACTTCACCTACTAGAGAAACAGCTCTAACTGGCAGAGATTGCCCACCACTGGAATGTCTAGTCTTTCTTGGCTGGCCATTGATGGTCTGAACTAGAGCTGGGGCTGCAGTACTCTAGGTAGAAACACCTTGAGAGTACTGTACAGACATAACCAAATGGTCTAAGATTCGACAGGCACCAAACCATATCAATGATCCTCAGTCATCCTCTTTTCCTTTGGGATGAAATCTATCCTCAGGGGCAAAGTCTTTGCAGTTGTAAGCTGATCGATATCAGGGATCTTTCAGCATAGATGGAAGTTCTATGACCAGAAGAGGACGACTACTAGATTTGACACCTCTCTCTCCTGCAGGACCTGGTGGTTAAGGCACTCGACTCGCAAGTTTGAATCTCACCATCAAACATTCTTGCCATTTTAGCCATGGTAGTGGTATAATGTGACAATAATCCCACTTTTCATTTGTAAAAGAGTAGCCCAATAGTTGACGGTGGTTGGTGTTGAGTAGCTACTTTTCCTCTAGTCTATCACTTCTAAATTAGAGATGGATAGTGCAGATAATGTTCGAGTAGCTTTGCAAGAAATTCAACAAACAAACACTTCTGCAACCAGTGCTTTCTGGTTGAAAACTCACCCTCTTGATCATGAGTACTTCTACGTCCAGAATAAGCCATTCTTTTCAGTAAAAACATTTCTTTAAACCCAGTAAACAAAGAGATCAAGCAAATATCAGTATATATATACACACACAAAACAAACAACAACAGAAAACCAATAAGTCCCGTGGTCATGGCACCACAATTTCTCCTTTCTATTTCCTTGTGATAGTCTCAGGTGAACTGATTTTCTTGCAAATATTAGATATGTCTGCTTAATAACAGAGGATCAAACAGTAAATTTATAGAGTCGTCTGAATTTTAAGCTGTGTGAGAAATAAATAACATGGCCATGTTGATGGAATGTGAAACTAATCTTTATTAAGGCCAAAAAAAATAGTGTGCATGTGTGAATAGAAAAAGGGAAGGACAATTGCATCTACTGGGCCTGTGAATTGATCACTAGATTTCTTCCCTCGAATTAGATCTCTATTGAAATATTGATGTTGATAACCAATTAGTACTCTAAACGTAGAGAGGTTCTAATCCAGCAAGAGGCATCATATCCCTTCTCTTATGGCAGCACCAACACGTGACTGGTCATTCTCTCAAGCATTCACTAACTGGAACATATAGACATCATTTAATTAGCTAACAAAGGCCATTACAGTAGTTGAACCTTTCAATGTGGATGTGCAATATTTCTTCGAGCAGAGTAGATATTAGCTGTTATAGAGCACAATGGTAAAAGAATGAGACAATTTCAGTGTGTTTCTGGATCCCATGTTCATGCCAAAACTGTACAGAAAGAGACAAAACGAAATTTTTTTAAATTGCTATGTTAGTAAAAATGGTAAAAAATATTATGTGCCCACTTATCGCTATATTATTAATTCTATAACCACTTCACCATTACTCTCTGATGAACATTATTCAGAGGAATGTCAATTACTAATAACATAGTTTAAATGCTCTAGATAAAATAACACCTTACTATATCAATTAATAACATGGATGTGTATTTATCAGCTCAATATCCCTATAGATAAGTCCAATAATAACAAACGTATGTAAGTGAAAATTGTATCATTATTTTATTTTAGAGTAATTTCTTTTGTGTAAAGAAACGATTATGGCTATTTCCTGATTGATACCTACATATTTTTAACACAAGTCAAAAGATAAATACTTAAAACACTGAATAGTGCTTCTAGATGGTAGAAAGAAAGGTTTGGACTTTTATATTTTCAAAACATCTCTGGATATTTTGGAGATATTGTGTTCTAGAGTGAGATATTATAGAAGTAGAATTTTACAATGAAACAATTTTGGAGTTTCAGAACTGTCCATGTTGCCACATCCAGTCCTGTTCTATCTGATGACCTAGCATGAGATGGTTCTGCACCATAGTTCTCATTGCAAAAGGCTAAGGTGAGGTTACCTTTTGTAATTAATGCCAATCGAAAGCAAAAGAATATGATTCAACTTAGGGCAACAGGACAATCTAGAAAGAAACTTGCTAAGCAAAGTGTGGCATATTGTAACAGGTAAGAAACCATGAACAAGAAAATCAGAGGCAATAACCATCTACATGCCCTAGGCAACAGTACACAACATAGTTGAGAATGATCTCCATCTGGAAAAGAACAAAAAAAAACAGTTCATTTGTACACAAGTTGCTTCAATAAAATATCTTTTCAACCATCACATACCTCAAGCAGCTGAAGAATGAAAAGAGTATTCATGCTATTCCATACAAAAATATACCAGTCAAATTGCCAGATGCAGCATTTATGACTTTATGTGTGACTGGACTGTTAAAATGGTCACTTGGAAAGTGTCATCTTCATACACTAAATGGGTTAACTCTATGGTTACGGTTTATGTCCAGCAGGAAGAAGAAGTATGCTTTCAACATGAAAGTGTCATAACAGGGAAACTTTAAATCGTGATCTGAACACATCTTTATAATCTAATTGTACAAATATTTTGTGTTGGAAAAGGCTGTCGCATGCCCTTCCAAAAACTGATCAACTTTCATTGACATAACACTGTTGCAACACCAATTATTGTCAAAATGAAGTTCCAATACATGTCATTCTATCACAACTTTATAATGGCTGTGGTTTTCCCATGATATGCTGATTTGAATGTTCAAATTCTTTTTAATATAACGTACTCAATGCTCTATACATCACAATATACACAAAAACGATTATGTAATGTTTCTTAGGGCATAGGCACAATCAATGTCTTTGGTTTTCCCAAGTGAAATTTGGGAGAGTTTAACCTCCAGACATTTCTGAACTGAAACACAGTGATACCAATAAAAAAGAAATAACAAATGAAAAAATGTACCTGATGATGACAAAACCTTGTCGAAACGTTGTACATTTGCTGTTATATTAAAGTTTTTCTTCATTACCCATTCAAGCCGTCTCCAGCCATTATTAGTCTCAAAGTGGGTTTCTCGTCATCGAAAACGAAAATGAAAAAAGAAGTCTTCTTGTAACATCAACGGTGAGAAACCCTAAGTGTGGAACCCATGAATTGGTCATGTGTAATTAGTACACAAAATAGGTTAATACTGCTCAAGATGGAGTTCCTGCATGTGAGAGTACACAAGCATTCTAAAAAAGCATATGTGATATGCAGGCATATCATATGCTTCAACCTGTTTTAGTGATATATAAATTTTAAACTTTTTCGTTTATCTAGTTTATGTACATTAGTAACATAAACATGTGGTCCACACATGTATAGTGCCATATAGAAAGGGTTGAGTACATTATAACACAAACGAATCCTATGATCACAACACCAAAATTTTTCCTTATTATCTTACCTCAAGAGAAATACTGCACATGGAGGATATGTCACTCTCCTACTGGTGGAGGGACATAGTCTAGTGTTGATTGCACCATAGCTTGGTGCGGTATATGTTATTACCTGTAGGTGGGGGAGTTGGTCAAAGGTTTGGCATATGTGCAAATACTTTCCAGCAGTTGCACAAGATATTTGACATTTGTTCTAAGGAATGGTAAATAGAGTTTCTGGAAACACAATTTATTTCCATGCGATTTCTCCTTGTTAACTGTTGTTCTACGTAACTATTTTAAGGGATTTAATCATATTTATTGTTAGTTAAGATGTATTTAATCATGATGTATAACTAAAAAAGGGAGATAAAGTGATTTTTTTTTCTTGACACACCCTATGATTTGGACATATTAATTTTCAAAAACCGTCGGGTCCATGCAATACTCAAATCAGACAACAAAGCAATATAATACAAACTTATTTAATGATGTCACTATCTAAGACCATAAATTTCTTACTGTTATGAAAATAAAGTAAAATAAAGTATTAAAGGAAATCTACAAACTGTGTACTGTTAATGCCAAAAATATTAATTTATATATATATATATATATATATATATATA